CGCCCAGGCTGGAGTGCAGTGGCGCGATCTCGGCTCACTGCAAGCTCTGCCTCCCGGGTTCACGCCATTCTCCTGCCTCAGCCTCCCGAGTAGCTGGAACTACAGGCACCTGCCACCATGCCCAGCTAATTTTTTTTTTGTATTTTTAGTAGAGACGGGGAGCTGGACGCTGGACTTTAAGCCTCCAGATCTAGGTGGTGTGATATGCTAAACAGACCTTATCACCTCTGTCTCGGGCATAGGACCCAGCACACAAAGTGCTCAAAGAACTTTTCTGGGAAGAAGGAAGAGGAAATTAAAAGAAGAGGAGAGATGAAAGAGGGCTGTACCTGGTGTCTTTTAGTGTTGAGACTTCGGCATTGACACTGGAAAGCCGCTGCCTCAGGATCCACAAGGTCCAGGTCAGGAGGATGGAGTTGATCTGCAAAGTCAAGCAGAAGGATGGAGAGGCTGGATATACAAATGGACAACGGCCAGAACACCTATAAAAGGAGAACTCTGGACTGGGCGTGGTGGCTCACATGTGTAATCCCAGCACTTTGGGAGGCCGAGGCGGGCGGATCACGATGTCGGGAGATCAAGACCATCCTGGCGAACACAGTGAAACCCCATCTCCACTAAAAATACAAAAAGTTAGCCAGGCATGGTGGCACAGGCCTGTAGTCCCAGCTACTCGGGAGGCTGAGGCAGGAGAACAGCGTGAATCCGGGCAGCAGAGCTTGCAGTGAGCTGGGACTGTGCTAGCCTAGGCAACAGAGTGAGATTCCATCTCAAAAAAGAAAAAAAGAAAAGAAAACAAAAGAAAATTCTGGCCAACAGAGGAAACAAGGTAACTGTTCTGTCTAGGCTTTGGATCTTAGTGAAGAACAAAGAGAAAAGAAAAGAGAGGAGAGAGACAGAGTAGGGGAAGCAGGGGAAGAGAGGGGTAAGGAAGAGGATGAGGGCCGGCTGCCAAGGCTCACACCTGTAATCCCAGCACTTTGGGAGGCTGAGGTGGGAGGATGGCTTGAGCCCAGGAGTTCAAGACCAGCCTGGGCCACATGGTGGCACGCACCTGTAATTCCAGCTACTTGGGAAGCTGAGGCAGGAGGATCGATTGAGCCCGAAAGGTTGAGGCTGCAGTGAACCATGATTGCACCACTGCACTCCAGCCTGGGCAACAGAGTAAGACCCTGCCTCAAAAAAAAAGAAAAAGAAAAAGAAAAAGATGAGGACAAGGAGGAGGAGGAGGAAGATGAGGAAGAGGAGGACAAAGAGGAGGAGAAGGAGGAGGGGAGAGAAAAGAACCCCAGCTCTGGCCTTCCATGGATTGGGAGTCCAATTTTACACTACCTTCATAGTCTAGGAAGCTGTTAGATGAGGCATTTATTTAAAATTGTTTCAGGTTGGTCGTACCCAGTTTTAGTTGAATTGTGTCTCCAGAAAAAGGTGTGTTGAACCCCTAAGTCCCAAGATCTCAGAATATGCCCTTATTTGGACATAGAATCTTTACAGAAATAATCAAGTTAAGATGAACTCATTAGGGCAGACCCTAATCTAATATGACTGAAATATGACTGGGGTTCTTTTTTTTTTTTTTTTTTTGAGACAGTCTCACTGTGTCACCCAGGCTGGAGTGCAGTGGTGTTATCTCGGCTCACTGCAACCTCCCCCTCCCGGGTCCAAACGATTCTCCTGCCTCAGCCTCCTGAGTAGCTGGGACCATCAGTGCCTGCCACCACGCCCGGCTAATTTTTTTGTATTTTTTAGTAGAGAGCCTCGCAAGGTGGTGAAACCCATCTCTACTAAAAATAAAAAATTAGCTGGTCATAGTGGCACGTGCCTGTAATCCCAGCACTTGGGGAGGCCAAGGCAGGCAAACTACCTGAGGTCAGGAGTTCGAGACCAGCTTGGCCAACATGGTGAAAACCCATCTCTATTAAAAATATAAAATTAGCCAGGTGTGGTGGTACGCGCCTGTAATCCCAGCAACTCGGGAGGCTGAGGCGGAATAATAGCTTGAAACCAGGAGGCAGAGGTTGCAGTGAGCCTACCAACATGGAGAAACCCCATCTCTACTAAAAATACAAAATTAGCTGGGCGTGGTGGTGCTCACCTGTAATCCCGGCTACCCAGGAGGCTGAGACAGGAGAGAATTGCTTGAACCAGGGGGGCAGAGGTTTTGGTGAGCTGAGATCGCACCATTGCACTCCAGCCTAGGCAACAAGAGTGAAACTCAGTCTCAAAAAAAAAAAAAAGAATTCTCCTTTTCAATATTTCATTCTTGAGATTTTTAAGTCCGAGAGTAATTTCCTTGATTCGCGAATCTTGTTTTTCCTTCTGAAAGGCAAATGCCCCTGGGAGGGACCATAATTGTATCCATCTTGTGTACGGGTCCATGAGTCTCTCTGAGGTGGGGTTGTTGTCTGGGGGTAATAATACGGGAGGTTCATTGCCTCATGCTGAGGAAATCAAGGCACTGACACCCACGAGGAGTGAGTTTAAGAGCAGAAGTTTAACAGGCAAAAGAAAGAGAAAGGAGACTAGATCTCTGTGTCTTGCAAGAGAGAGGGCCTCCTGAGTGGGACTTCTGGCCCACAGCAAAGTGCACCGGATTTTACAGACTGGCTTGAGGGGGCGGTGTCTGATTTACATAGGGCCCAAAGATTGGTTGGACCCAGTGTGACATTTACATAGAGCACGAGGAAGCTGGCCACCCACCCTGATCTTTTATTATGCAAATGGAGCCTTTACTTGGCTGGCAACATATTGTCTTCTCCTTACTGTCCACATGGTTTACAAAGAAATGGGAAGAAGGAGCTGCCATTTTTTTTTCTTTTTTTTAGATGGAGTCTCGCTCTGTCACCCAGGCTGGAGTGCAGTGGCGCGATCTCGGCTCACTGCAAGCTCCACCTCCCAGGTTCACACCATTTTCCTGCCTCAGCCTCCCGAGTAGCTGGGACTACAGGCGCCTGCCACCACGGCTGGCTAACTTTTTGTATTTTTAGTAGAGACGGGGTTTCACCATGTTAGCCAGGATGGTCTCGATCTCCTGACCCCGTGATCCGCCCGCCTCAGTCTCCCAAAGTGCTGGGATTACAGGCGTGAGCCACTGTGCTCAGCCTGGAAAGAACTCCTGACGGGAATAAGTGACCCTCTCAGCTGCACACGTCCCTGGAAATTCCAGATCTCGCAGGTCTCCTTGCTCCTCCTTCAGAACACACTTCGCCAGGCTGTTGTCGTATTTGCTTACCGCTATGACTGTGCAAACTGGCCCCAAGAAACTCCAGATGAACCCTGTCTCTGTATTCAGCCAGCAGCTACGGAGAGAAATAGGAGGAGTCAGTGCTCGTCTCAGAGTCCGGACCTTACAGTTAGCCCTGCCCCAACGAATGCCCTAGTGGAGGAGAACACTGGGAGGTGAGACTCAGATGACACTCAGGATGGTCCCGGTTGCAGTTCAGCTTCCTTCAGACCACCGTGCTTCCTCTTTTAGACCTTCTTCCTGGGCAAATGTACCTGAAATGTTTACCTGGTGCCCGAGGTTGAGCTCATTTCGCAATTCACAACTTCCTAATCCTGTTTCCCTCTATGCAGAGCTCTCCACTGGTACACTTGGTCATTGAAATCTCAGCTCAGGCCGGGCGCGGTGGCTCACGCCTGTAATCCCAGCACTTTGGGAGGCCGAGGCAGGTGGATCACCTGAGGTCAGGAGTTTCAGACCAGCCTGGCCAACATGATGAAACCCCATCTCTACTAAAAATACAACAATTAACTGGGCGTGGGGGTGCGTGCCTGTAATCCCAGCTACTCGGGAGGCTGAGGCAGGAGAATCACTTGAACCCGGGAGGCAGAGGTTGCAGTGAGCCGAGATCACGCCACTGCACTCCAGCCTGGGCGACAAGAGCAAAACTCTGTCTCAAAATAAATAAATAACAAATAAATAAATAAATAAATCTCAGCTCAAATGTCACCTCCTCTGAGAAGCCACTCCTGACTATCCTTAGATCGGGCATCCTGTCTCTACTCCTGGTATCCATCTAGCAGAGCTCACTGCATTTTTAAAATAGCAGCTATCGCTATCATAAGTTACCTTGTTTAATTGCTTGTGTAATTGCAAATTGTCTTCCACTACTAGACTATGAGCTTCATGAGAATTTGGGCCTTGGGTGTTTGTTCATTTCTGAATACTCAGCACTCAGAGCAAAGCCTAGCATAGACAAGATATTTCATAATTGTTTATTTAAAGGAAGGAAGGGAGGGAGGGAGGGAGGGAGGGAAGGATAAGAAGGAAGGGAAGGAAGGAGGGAAGGAGGGAGGGAGGAGGGAAGGGAAGGAAGGGAGGAAGGGAGGAAAGGAAGGAAGGGAAGAAAGGGAAAGGAGGGAGGGAGGAAGGGAGGAAGGGAGGAAGGGAAGGAAGGGAAGAAAGGGAAAGGAGGAAGGGAGGAAGAGAGGGAGGGAAAGGAGGAAGGGAGGAAGAGAGGGAGGGAAGGGAAGGAGGGAGGGAAGGGAAGGAAGGAAGGAAGAAAGGGAAGGAGGGAAGGGAGGAAGGAAGGAGGGAGGGAAGAGGGGAGGGAGATACGGAGAGAGGAAGAAGGGAGGAAGGAGGGAGTGAGGGAGGGTTGGAGGGAGGAAGAAAGGATTGCCTCTTTTTATTATGTCTCTAGTGTACATTAGCTGCTTTTACTACATAACAGCCATTCCGTCACGTTCAATAACAGCACCCCAATATTCCCGCCACCAGTTTTTTGAGACAAAGTCTCACTCTTGTTCCCCAGGCTGGAGTGCAATGGCGCGATCTCAGCTCATTGCAACCTCCGCCTCCCGGGTTCAAGCAATTCTCCTGCCTCAGCCTCCCGAGTAGCTGGGATTACAGACACACACCACCATGCAGAAGTATTCCTCTCTTGCTTTCACCCCCATCCTCCATGTCGTACACACAAGAAAAGGAAAATAATCAATTAGGTAAACTAGATATTCTCCTCCTGGAACATAAATCTCAAATAGTAGTGACCCTGGATTTGTGCAGTGCACAACCTGTGCTCCTGTACATGGTGGTCCTGAAACCAATAGCACATAATGTAAGAGCTCGATAAATGGTAGCCACAACTACTGCTACTGTTGTTACTCTCCTTGTTGCTCATGTCATTATCACTGTGATCCTAGGCAGCACGGTCTTCAGGAAGAGAGAGGATGTCACTCACCGATTATGCATTCCATAGCCCTGCGACTGCACACTGGCGGAGATCACCACCACCAGCACCGGCAGCCCATAACCAAAGGCACAGATGTGCAGCATCTTGATGTTGCGAGAGCTGAAGTAATTCACCACCTTCAGGTTTCTGACCATCAAGAAGAGCATCACAGCCTCCACCAGCATCCAGAAGAAGCAGGCAAGGAAAAGGTAGTGCAGGAAGCCCGCGATGATGGCGCAGCCCATCTGGAGGGGAGAAGCATGCACGTCAGGGTCCTCCACCCCAGAGAGAAATCGAGAGGAAGAAAGGAAGAGAGAGACTCCTCGACCAGAAATTCCCCAAACCTAGCTCACTCATTCATCTCACAAACATTTATAGAGATGGGCAGTGGTTCTCGACCACAAGCAGCACCACTTCCTGGTAAGGCGACCTATGGTCCTGGTTTGTCTGGAACTGAGATTTCCCAAGACGCATGACTTTCAGTTCTAAAACAGGAAGAGTTTTAGGAAAACTGACTGTTGATCGCCCTACTTTAGGGAATGGTTGAAAATAGGCGGGTTCAGCAAACTAGACCCCGTAGGCTGACTGTCTGCCTTGTAAATAAAGCTTTATTGGCTGGGTGTGGTGGCTCACGCTTGTAATCCCAGCACTTTGGAAGGCTGAGGCAGGCAGATCGCTTGAGCCCAGGAGTTTGAGACCAGCCTGGGAAACATGACGAAACCCCCCTCTCCATACAAAAAATACAAAAATTAGCCAGACATGGTGGCACAGGCCTGTGGTCCCAGGTACTTGGGAGGCAGAGGTGGGAGGATCGCTTGAGCCCGGGAGGCTGTAATGAGGTGTGATTCAGCCACTGCACTCTAGCCTGAGTGACACAGCAAGACCCTGTCTCAAAAAAAAAGAAAGAAAGAAAGAAAGCAAAGGAAAGGAAGGAAGGAAGGAAGGAAGGAAGGAAGGAAGGAAGGAAGGAGAAAATAAAAAGAAAGAGAAGTGGAGATTCTAAGCTGTAGCATTATCGACATTTGTAACATTATTGCAGGATCATCCTCTGTCATGGAGAGCTGTCTTGTGCACTACAAGATCCTTAGCAGCATCCCTAACCTTTACCCGCTAGATACCAGTAGCACGCTCCTCCAGTTGTGACAACCAAAAATGTCTCCAGACATTGCCAAGTCTCCCCTGGGAGGGAAAAAGCACCCAGGGAGAGAACCTCTGGTTTAGAAAGTATTGGAGGGGCTGTGCGTTGTGGTTCAAGCCTGTAATCCCAGCACTTTTTGGGAGGCCAAGGCGGGTGGATCACCTGAGGTCAGGAGTTCAGGACTAGCCTGGCCAAAATGGTGAAACCCCGTCTCTACTAAAAATACAAAAAAATTAGCAGGACATAGTGGCTCATGCCCGTATTCCCAGCTACTCAGGAGGCTGAGGCAGGAGAATTGCTTGAACCCAGAGGACGGGGTTGCAGTGAGCCAAGATCACATTGTACTCCAGCCTGGGCAACAAGGGCGAAACTCAGTATCAAAAACAAACAAACAAAAACAAGTAATAGGAGGAACCGTTACAATTCATAACATGATCAGGCGTGTAATTTTGAACTGAGAGCTGTCACAAGGAGTCAAGCAGGTGAGAAGCTGGGAAGTGAGTGTTACAGGCAGAGGGCACAGCCTATGCAAAGGCCCTGAGGTAGGAACAGGGGTAGAGGGGATTGGGTAGGAATGAGCTGAGGCAGGTGGGGAGAAGATGGGGTTTGGTAGGGACACAGCCCCAGCGATGTAGACCTGATTGTCAGTCTTGTCTATACCGGCGAGGAAGAGGATCTTGGCCAAGAGGAGACACACGCAGAGGTGCAGGTGGAGGTAGGTGATGTGATTTCGGATGGAGCGACACAGCAAAAAGGTGGCGATGGCCAAGACGAGGCACACCAAGGAGATGATCATGCCCACGTGGCTAATGACGTACAAGGAGAAGTCCATCTGTCAGGAAGGAATTCATAGTTGGCCTGAGAATAGGATCAAAATTCCCCCAGGTGGGAAGAACAGTTATCTAAAACCCTGGCTCGGGCAAAATTAGCTTGGGGGCCTTTTCTCCCTCTAACACTCAGTGAACTAGATATTATCCTTCATTATCCTTTGCAATCAACTGGCATCCACCAGCACCTATTCCCAGCCCTGTCCTATGCGCTACTCCAGGTATGACTGGGACTGGATGTCCACAAACTACATCTCCCAGAATCCTAGGGAACTAAGGTCCTGGATGTAATTTAGGTTCTCCAGTGAGATACATCTGTGAATGTCTTGCAATGCAGAAGGGAGGCAAATATCAGCTTTTGGCAGACAGGAGTGAGCTTCATTCCACATTTCCACTGTCCAGTCCCCAATTTCATGGTGGAGTGGGGTGGCAAAACGACAGCAGCAATTTCTGACCTCTGAGTTATAGCTGCATTGGGGGATGATCTTGAAGCCAAAATTGAAGTGACAGCCCCCTGACTTCAACTCCTCCATCCTCTCCCAGAGATTTTTGTGAGCACCCACTTCCCTGTATTAAATCCCTTTCTGCTTGAAATACCTGGGGTGTTTCTTCCTTCCTGTACTGCATCCCAACTGATAATGCAGACATTCAGGAATGCTCCAACTTCAGGAGTGGAACATGACAAGCTGAGTTCTTCTTCTATGCCATTTATTCATAATTAATTTTAAAATTGATTTTAAATGTATCCAAGTGCTTTCTGTGGGTTAAAGATATGCCAGGCACCATCTTATGAGCACCTCTCTATGATATTGTCACCAAGTGGTTAGGAAAACTGACCATCGACTGGGCGCCGTAATCCCAGCACTTTGGGAGGCTGAGGTGGGTGGATCACCTGAGGTCAGGGGGTTCAAGACCAGCCTGGCCAACATGGCAAAACTCTGACTCTACCCAAAAAAAAAAGAAAGAAAGAAAAAAGCTGGGCATGGTGGTGGGCACCTGTAATCCCAGCTACTCGGGAGGCTGAGTCAGGAAAATCACTTGAACCTGGGAGACGGAGGTTGCAGTGAGCCAAGATCGCGCCACTGCACTCTAGCCTAGTGACAAGAGCGAAATTCAGTCTCAAAAAAAAAAAAACAAAACAAACAAACAAACAAAAACCAGAAAAAAGAAAAGAAAACTGACCAATTTGTAGTTGTGTGAGTTTGGACAAGACACTTCACTGCTCTTTGCCCTCAGTTTCCTCATCTGTTAAAAAGAGAATATTAATGGTAACTGCCTTACACAGTTGTTGTAGGAGGATTAAAAGAAAACATTTAAAGTACAACTGTGCCAGAAACATGCTATATAAATGCTAGTGATCATCAGCAATTTTTGTTATCGTTCTCATTTTTGAGATGAGACAGCTGGGCTCAGTGCAGAGAAGTTAAGTGACTTTTCCGAGAAAACACAGCTAGAAAGTGGTAGAGATGGGACTTGAAACTCAGTCAGTTTTGTTCTGGATCCAGTTCTCTTAAATCCTAAGCCACATGGTCCTTAAAACGGCACTTACTTATGGGCCTCCCTGGTAGGGAATTAAACGTTGGGTCTACCATGATAGGAAAGGATACTTTTTTTTTTTTTTTTTTTGGAAACAGAGTCTCACTCTGTCACTCAAGCTGGAGTGCAGTGACGTGATCTCGGCTCACTGCAAGCTCTGCCTCCTGGGTTCACACCATTCTCCTGCCTCAACCTCCCGAGTAGCTGGGACTATGGGCGCCTGCCACCTCGCCCAGCTAATTTTTTGTATTTTTAGTAGACACAGGGTTTCACCGTGTTAGGCAGGATGGTCTGGATCGCCTGACCTCCTGATCCGCCCACCTCGGCCTCCCAAAGTGCTGAGATTACAGGCGTGAGCCACCACGCCCGGCGAAAGGATGCTTTCTACAACACTAATGAGGACGTCCTTCCTCTCTGCCGAATCTACTCATTCACCAAGGCTTATTTCATATTCTGTTCCCTCCCAATCTGTCATCGTCTCTCTTGGAAACACCTCAGAATTCTTTTTTGTTTGTTTGTTTGTTTGTTTGTTTGTTTGTTTTGTTTGTTTTTTGTTTTTGTTTTTGTTTTTGTTTTTTTGTGAGACAGAGTCTCGCTCTGTTGCCAGGCTGGAATGCGGTGGTGCCATCTCAGCTCACTGCAACCTCTGCCTCCCAGGTTCAAGCGATTCAAGCGATTCTCCTGCCTCTGCCTCTGGAGTAGCTGGGACAACAGGCATGCATCACCACGCCCAGCTGATTTGTGTATTCTTAGTAGACATGGGGTTTCACCATGTTGACCAGGATGGTCTCGATCTCTTGACCTCATGATGCACCCACCTTGGCCTCCCAAAGTGCTGAGATGACAGGCATGAGCCACCGCGCCTGGCCAATACCTCTGAATTCTTACAGCATTCCTTCTTGACCCATTTGCATGTTTTAGTCGAAAGAGATTTCCCCAGATTTGAATTCCACCTGCCCCAATTTCTAACTTCAGGACTAGACGGGCCACTTTGCCCATTCTGTGAAATGCGTCTGAAACCGCTTAACTTAAAGAGCCCAGCACGCTGTAGGTGCTCATTAAGTAAGATCTGTGATTGCTCCAGTGCCTGGCCCTATTTAGGGTCATTATTTCTCATTGTATACGTGAGTTTCATGGCCTTCCAACCAGACTGTAAGTTCTGCAGGGGTGACGGTGTATCACCTACCCCTTCTGTCCCCATGACTCCGTCCCACAACACCCAACCCCATGGGAGAAACACAACAGACGTTTAATCAATATTTTCCCATTGGATTTGGAGGCAGATACTCTGCCTCAGGGAACAAATCATCATTACTAACCGTGAGCTCCCCAGAAGCCATGATAACAGCAAGATTCGCCATCCGATTACAGCTGCAGACGGTATGTATCTCAGAGGCTTCCAGGATCACACAGCCAAAGGATGTCCATCTTCCACCCTTCACATCGGTGCTCCAGGAAACACAGATGGGCCTCTCAAACTCCTGCTTTGGCTAAAAAAAACCCCCCAAAATTAAAAAAAAAACAAACAAAAAAAAAAACAAAAAAGAAACAAAGGCCCTGGTCACCTAAGGATCCCCATCAAATAGATTAAATGTGACTATCCTCAAGAGTCACTGGGAACAAGAATACACAGGGTACGTTCTGAGGGAATGGGGGAAAATGCTGATATTTCATTATGCAATGAGGGCCAATCTGATGGAGCAGCTTACATTCCTGTTGCTAGAAGAAAACTCCTCCTTTCATCAAATCCATAATAAGGCCTTCTGCATAGTCACTCATTATGAGTGAAAAAACCACTCATTCAATGTGTGGTTTTTTTGTGTGTCTGTGTGTGACTGAGTCTCACTGTGTCGCCCAGGCTGGAGTGCAGTGGTGCAGTCTCAGCTCACTGCAACCTCTGCCTCAGGGTTCAAGTGATTCTTCTGCCTCAGCCTCCCAAGTAGCTGGGATTACAGGTGCCCACCACCATGCTTGGCTAATTTTGGTATTTTTAGTAGAGACGGGGTTTTACTATGTTGGCCAGACCAGTATTGAACTCCTGATGTCAAGTGATTCACCTGCCTTGGGCCTCCCAAAGTTCTGGGATTACAGGCGTGTGTCACCATATCCAGCTAATTTTTGTATTTTTAGTAAAGATGGGGTTTCTCCATATTGGCCAGGCTGGTCTCGAACACCTGACCTCAAGTAATCCACCTGCATAGGCCGCCCAAACTGTTGGGATTAGAGGCATGAGCCACCACACCCAGCCTCGTTCAACATGTTTTTATTGAATACCTATTACATGCCTTAATCTGTGCTGTTTACGGGAGACATTAGTAAATAAAATAGACACAGTTCTTCCCCCAAGGAGATCATAGTGCAGTGGGAGGAAAAACATATAAAAGCCAAGTAAACAGAGAAATATTTTTAGTAACAGTTTAAGAACAACATGCTTTAAGAATCTATATTAGAAGGGTGGGCATGGTGGCTTATGCCTGTAATCCCAGCACTTTAAGAGGCTGAGGCGGGTGGATCACCTGAGGTCAGGTGTTCAAGACCAGCCTGACCAACACGGTGAAACCCTGTCTCCACCAAATACAAAAAGGTTAGCTGGGCGTGGCAGTGGGCACCTGTAATCCCAGTTACTCTGGAGAATGGCTTGAACCGAGGAGGCAGGGGTTGCAGTGTGAACTAGTTCAACTAGTTGAACTGTGAACTAGTTCAACCATTGTGAAAGACAGTGTGGTGATTCCTCAAGGATCTAGAACTAGAAATACCATTTGACCCAGTTATCCCATTACTGGGTATATACCCAAAGGATTACAAATCATGCTACTATAAAGACACATGCACACATATGTTTATTGCGGCACTATTCACAATAGCAAAGACTTGGAACCAACCCAAATGTCCATCGATGACAGACTGGATTAAGAAAATGTGGCACATATACACCATGGAATACTATGCAGCCATAAAAAAGGATGAGATCATGTCCTTTGTAGGGACATGGATGCAGCTGGAAACCATCATTATCAGCAAACTATCGCAAGAACAGAAAACCAAACACTGCATGTTCTCACTCATAGGTGGGAATTGAACAATGACAACACTTGGACACAGGAAGGGGAACATCACACACCGGGTCCTGTTGTGGGGTGGGGGGAGGTGGGAGGGAAAGCATTAGGAGATATACCTAATGTAAATGATGAGTTAATGGGTGCAGTACACCAACATGGCACATATATACATATGTAACAAACCTGCATGTTGTGCACATGTACCGTAAAACTTAAAGTATAATAATAATAATAATAATAAAAGAAGCAACAACCACATAGCAGCATCCAGGATCCAATCAGATCAAGCCCTGGTATCACCCCATGGCAGCATCCAATCAGATCACACCTTCCTGCATCACTTCATTGTAAGATGCAATCAGAACGCAGCTCATTACCCACTGACTATAAAACCTGCCCCAACCCCCCAGCTTGGGGAGACAGATTTAAGCCAGACTCCTGTGTCCTTCCTTGGCAGTCTTGCAATAAACTTCTCTCTCTACAAAAACCCGGTGCTTCAGTGTTTAACTTTCTGTTGCACATGGGCAAACGGACCTAGTTCTGTTTGGTAACAGTGGGAGACCTCATTCCTCTAGCGGTGGCTTCTGTTAATTGACTTGAATTGCTAGAAATTGTGGAAGCTTACCGACCACAATAGCTTCCCATAAAAAATGAGAGTTAAGGAAATCGAGAGACGAGGAGTTCCCAACAGGTAGACAGGAATCTCAGCAGAGACCGCTTCACAAACCTGAATGTTCTCCAGAGTGTAGATGACTGGATCTGAGAAGCCATCTTTCTTCTCCCCAGTCATGATGCCCCCAACGACTCGAGAATTCATCTTCAGCTTGATCTTCGAGGTGGTCAGGGGAGCCTGGTGGTCTTGGAAGAAGCGTTCGTTTAAAACAGACTCCACGCCCACAAAGGAGACAAAAGCCACACCAGTGGTCCCTGCAGGTTTCCCCAAATGAAAAAAAGAGGGAATCGTTTGCTCAATAGTTATTATAGAAGATCGAACACACACGAGAGAGAGAGAGAGAGAGAAAGAGAGAGAGAAAGAGACATGCACCTCACTGTGCTGCTCCGAGATTAAAATAACCAGCAGGCTTCTAGGTTTAAAAAATAAACCTCCGGCCGGGCATGGTAGCTGACGCTTATAATCCCAGCACTTTGGGAGGCCGAGGCGGGTGGATCACAAGGTCAGGAGATCCAGACCATCCCGGCTAACATAGTGAAACTCCGTCTCTACTAAAATACAAAAAATTAGCCTGGTGTAGTGATGCGCGCCTGTAGCTCCAGCTACTTGGGAGGCTAAGCCAGGGGAATCACTTGAACCTGGGAGGCAGAGATTGCAGTGAGCCAAGATCGCACCACTGCACTCCAGCCTGGTGACAGAGCAAGACTCCGTCTCAAAACAAAACAAAACAAAATGAAACAAAAACTTCCACAGCTGGGCAGAATGGCTCACGCCTGTAATCCCAGCACTTTGGTAGGCCAAGGCAAGTGGATCACTTGAGGTCAGGAGTTCAAGACCAGCCTGGCCAACATGGTGAAACCCCATCTCTACTAAAAATTAAAAAAAAAAAACTAGCTGGGCATGGTGGCAAGTGCCTGTAGTCCCAGCTACTCGGGAGGCTGAGGCACGAGAATCGCTTGAATCCAGGAGGCGGAGGTTGCAATGAGCCAAGACCATGCCATTGCACTCCAGCCTGGGCAACAGAGCAAGATTCCATCTCAAAAAAAAGAAAAAGAAAAAGAAGAAGGAAAAGAAGAAGAAGGAGGAGGAGGAGGAGGAAGAAGAAGAAGAAGAAGAAGAGGAGGAGGAGGAGGAGGAGGACGAGGAGGAGGAGGAGGAGGAGGAGAGAAAGTGCTCAATTTATGATGTCTAGGGGGACATCCAAGGGGTCCCTCCATTAGCTTGGCAGTGGCAGATGAAGCCTAGGGGATGGTACTGTCTGGTTGGGACAGGAAGCTGTGGACAGCAAGCCACCCAGGTGCCGAGGCAAGAGATCGAGGGCACGGGCTGTTCCAGTATAATAAAATATATAGAATAAGAATAGTCATACTAGATATAGATAATAGATATGATTATGTATAACTATCATTAATCATTAGTCTGTAGCAATGACTCTTTACTCCAATATTATAATCATCCTTGCTCTACAATTGTAACTTAGGAAAAACCAAGCTACACAGAGATAGGGGCTGGGGGGACATAGTGAGAAGTGACCAGAAGACCGGAATGTGAGCCTTTTGTTATGCCCAGGCAGGGCCACCAGAGGGCTCCTTGGTCTAGCAGTAACACCAGCATCTGGGAAGATGCCCGTTGCCAAGCGGACCGTGGTCTAGCGGTAGCGTCAGTGTCAAGGAAAAACACCTGCTACTTAGCAGACAGGGAAGACAGGGAAAGGGAGTCCCCCTTTCCCCGGAGGAGTTCAGAGAAGACTCTACTCCTCCACCTCTTGTGGAGGGCCTGACTGATGTTATCCAGAGGCCCAACCGTCTCCATGTGATGCTGTGCTTCAGTGGTCATGCTCCTAGTCCACCTTCATGTTCCATGCTCTACACCTGGTTCTGCCTTCTAGATAACAGTAGCAAATTAGTGAAAGTACTAAAAGTCTCTGATATGCAGAAATAATGGCGTAAGCTGTCTCTCTCTCTTTCTCCTCTCTTTCTCTCTGCCTCGGCTGCCAGGCAGGGTAGGGTCCCCTGTCCAGTGGACACGTGACCCATGTGACCTTACCTATCATTGGAGATGACTCACACTCCTTACCCTGCCCTTTTGTCTTGTATCCAATAAATATCAGCTCAGCCTGGCATTCGGGGCCACTACCGGTCTCCACGTCTTGGCGGTAGTGCTCCCCCAGGCCCAGCTGTCTTTTCTTTTATCTCTTTGTCTTGTGTCTTTATTCCTACAATCTCTTGTCTCTGCACACAGGGAGAAAAACCCACCAACCCTGTGGGGCTGGACCCTACAGGAAGCGGCATAGGACATATCCCTGTCTCTCTCTTTCTAACTCGGCCTCCCAAGGTGTTGGGATTACAGGTGTGAGCCGCCACGCCCAGTGACCTTCAATTCTTTTCCCTCTCTCCCCCACGTTCCTGGTGCTCCAGCTCACTCTACTTTTAGTTCCATGATCATACCAAGCTTTATTTCAACACAGAGCCATAGCTTGTACTTCCTATAACACACTCTCTCCTACTTTCTTTACATATTCCTCAGGACTTCGCTTAAATATCTCTTCCATTTTGCACATTAAAGTATTAATCACAGTGTTAATCATATGCATAGATCAGATCAGGGGCTGGAAAACTATGGCCTATGGGCCAATCTGGCTGTCACCTACTTTTTTAAATACAGTTTTATTGAAACATGCCCAGGCACATTCATATATTGTCTATGAATGCTTTTGAACTATAATGGTAGTTAAGTCATCGTGATAGAGGCTGTATTAATTGCAATGCTTAAAATAGTTACTAACGAGCCCTCTACAGAAAAAGTTTGCCATCCCTGACACTGATTAGCAGTGTCCAACATAAATATAGTACGAACAACATATGTAATTTTAAATTTTCCAGTACACATTTTTTTAAAGTAAAAAAAGATAAAATTAATTTTAATAATATATTAACTCAGTATAAGCCAAATATTATTTCAACATATAAATATATTTTAAAATGTAAAAATTTATTTTAAATATTGCATATTTTAAATTTTTAAATATTACATATTTTTAAATATTACATATTTTTAAATATTACATATTTTAAAATTTAAATATTTTAAAAATTTAAATATTATATATTTTAAAGATTTAAATATTTTAAAAATTTAAATATTTTTTATTTTTATATTATTTTAAATACAAAAAAATGACTAGTGAGATGTCTTAATCCTTCTTTTTGGGCACCAAGCCTTTGAAATACAGTGTTTATTTTAGGTTTACAGTAGTTCTCAACCTGGCTTAATCAAATTTCAATTGCTCAACAGCTGAATGTGACCAGTTCATATCATACAGGCCAGTGAAGGTCTCAATACTCCAGTATTATAAGGTCATTTAATGCTTGACTTCCCTAGCAGATGGAAAACTCTGAGAGCATAGGCCATTTCTGCCCTCATTGGTTCTCAACCATCTGGCACTGGTCTTGGCACCTTGAAAGGGATCAATAAATGCATATTAATGGAATACACCATAACCTGCATTCTCAGGAGAGGAACTGTACCTGTGGATTCAGATTCCTCAATTGTGGAACACCGGATCTTCATCTTATCCCCCTTGGCTGCCAAGCTCAAGTTCACATTCTCTTCACTGCATTCTTTGTTGATAACTTTGCTCTCAATGTCTAAAAAGAAAAAGGGAGAGTTCCTATGAGGTCGCCCAGAAAGTCAGTCCTGAATTTGGTTTCTGTCCAAAAAAAAGTACACATCCATCGTGGCGAGCAGAGAAAAAGAATAGAAAGTTCAATTCATGATAGGAAAGATCTTGAGTCCCATAATGAATGATAGGAGAACCATAGTACCAAACAAATGAGTAACCCAGGTGGAGCCTTAGAAGCCAGCTCTCATATTCTAGGGGATGCATCAGGGAAAGATGGGGTCAAAGTCAACAGTGATGGAAGGCAACAGTCATGATCCTCTCTCTACTCTAAGTTTTTTGTTTTCTTTTTGTTTTTTAGTTTTGTTGATGTTTTTATTTTGGAGACAGAGTCTTGCTCTGTTGCCCGGGCTGGAGTGCAGTGGTGCGATCTTGTCTCACTGCAAGCTCCGCCTCCCGGGTTCACGCCATTCTCCTGCCTCAGCCTCCCAAGTAGCTGGGATTACAGGCGCCCGCCACCATGCCCAGCTAATTTTTTGTGGTTTTAGTAGAGACGGGGTTTCACCGTGTTAGCCAGGATGGTCTCGATCTCCTGACCTCGTAATATGCCCGCCTCGGCCTCCCAAAGTGCTGGGATTACAGGTATGAGCCACTGCTCCCGGCTTCATGTGTTTTCTAAAACCAAAACAAATAGTAAGGGATTGGGGCAAGCCTAGCATGGTACACAAGAGCTCAGGTTTTGCAGTCAGATGGTGGTAACTGGGAGGCCCAGCTCTGTGGCGCACTAGCTGCCTAAATTTGAGTATTGACTTAAGCTCTCTATGCCTCCTATTTCTCATCTGTATCATGGCAACACATTGCAGGACCTAACCCACTGGCCCTTCCTGAAATTAAACTAGATAATGGAACCAGAAGAATCCTTGTAAAACATAAGCCAGATAATACCATACCTGTTCCCAAATTTTCCAATGTCTTTTCATCTCACTTCAAATAAAATCTTGGCTGGGTACATTGGTTCAGGCCTGTAATCCTAGTACTTTGGGAGGCCAAGCAGGAGGATCACTTGAGCTCAGGAGTTCAAGACCAGCATGGGCAACATAGCAAGACCTCATTTCTACCAAAAATTTTTAAAACTAGACAAACATGGTGGTGCACGCCTATAGTTCCCAGCTACTCAGGAGGCTGAGGCAGGAGGATCGCTTGAGCCTGGGAGTGTGAAACTATAGTGAGCTATGATTGTACCACTGCACTCTAGCCTTGGTGACAGAGTGGGACCCTGTCTCAAAAAAAAAAAGAAAGAAAAAGAAAAAGAAAAACCTCAAGTCCCTAAATTTGCCTACATTTCCTTTCTCCTACTGCTATCACCATCTTCAATGCCACTTCAGCCACACTGGGCACCTCATGATTCCTTGAATTCTCCAGGTATTCCTGCACTTGCTCTTTCTCCAGATATTTACATGACTCTCTTCCCTGACATCCCTGCCCCAAGGAGACTTACCCTGATCTCACTATATAAAGTAGCAACTCTCCCTCTAATCCCAACCCTCTCTAACCTCCCTAGCCTGCTGTATTTTTTCTCAGTAGCACTACCTCTATTTGGTATACCAGATGTCTGTTTGTTTATTGTCTGACTCAACTCACTAAAATATAAGATTCATGAGGCTAATTTTGTTCACTACTGGTTGGAGTCCACCAAATACTTTATTTCCACCTCTTGGCCTTCTGGGCATCCATTAGGTTGGAACTTCCTAGGTTTATGTGAATGATACTGGAACTACTACCAGGAGTAGGGTGCTAATGTAAAAGATCTACAGCAGCCACTATTCCCAAGTAGTCATCTATCAAGTATGTATGAGTCAGGAAAGGATCAGTCTTGCAGCAGTAACAAACAACCCTAAGTCTTAGTGGATTAAAAAAAACAAGCGTTTATATCTCATTAATGCTTTGTATCTATTGTAAATTGACTTGAGGCCATGTTCCATATTATCTTTATTCTGGCACCCAGGCAGATGGAGCAGCTGTGACCTGAGGCACTGCTAATCGTATGGGCAGAGGGAAAGAAAGTTCTGGAAAGTCTCATACTGGCAACTACTCTATTCCCCAATTTATTGGCCTGAACTAGTCCCCAAATCCCACCTAACCACATGGTAGCCAGGAAGTACAATTCTACCGTGGGTTCAGCGGGGCAAACGGGAAGTACTTGAGCACAGCCTATGACTGTCATACCTTAGCCCAGCACATAGCAGCTAATCAGCAAATATTTGTAGAATAAATTAATGATATGGTCTTAGCATAGTGCCTGGCCTTTGCCAAGTGCTCAGTGAATGGAAAATATTGTTAATATGATTAGATTTACTTTGCTGTGAATTCAAGGTATTTAAACAGTTGGAGAAAGAATGGGTGGGAAACCCAGGGAAAATCCCATTGCCAAAGTCAACTCTCAAAATCATCACCTGGATGTAACCTTGCCACGAAGGGTATCTCCTACCTAAGTAATCCGTCCGAACAGTCTGAGTGACATTTGCTGAGGGTTTCAAAAAAGTTGCCAGTGTCAAGCTTTCCACGCTCTCCAGGAAGACTGTGGCCAGGGAGGACGTCTCCTCCTTGGTGAAGTTGGTCCACGTGGATATTTGTTTAAGCACAGGGACAAAGCTCTCAGTTGTATTCTGCAAGGAAAGACGTGTTTGTTCATTCTCTCTCTCTCTCTCTCTCTCTCTCTGTCTCTCTCTCTCATTAATGAAATAACAGCTGTCCTTTTTCTCATTAAGAATAGGCTGGGAGTCAATCCAAGGGAGAATTAAAAGGGGCATCCACTCGGGCTCCTTTTTCTGATTCAAGAAGCCCCATTAGAAATACAAACTGAGGCCGGGTGTGGTGGCCACGCCTGTTATCCCAGTACTTTGGGAGGATGAGACGGGCGGATCACGAGGTCAGGAGATCCAGACCATCCTGGTTAACACAGTGAAACCCCGTCTCTACTAAAATTACAAAACGATTAGCCAGGCATGGTGGCGGGCGCCTGTAGTCCCAGCTACTTGGGAGGCTGAGGCAGAAGAATGGCGTGAACCCGGGAGGCAGAGCTTGCAGTGAGCAGACATCACGACATTGCACTCCAGCCTGGGTACCACAGCGAGACTCCGTCTCAAAAAAAAAAAAAAAAAAAGAAATACAAATTGAGGCCGAGTGCAGTGGCTCACACCTGTAAGCCCAGCACTTTGGGAGGCTGAAGTGGGTGGATCATGAGGTCAGCAGTTCGAGACCAGCCTGGCAAACACAGTGAAACCCTGTCTCTACTAAAAATACAAAAAAATTTAGCCGGGTGTGGTGGCACGTGCCTGTAATCCCAGCTACTCAGGAGGCTGAGGCAGGAGAATAGCTTGAACCCAGGAGGCAGAGGTTGCAGTGAGCTGAGGTCGCACCACTGCACTCCAGCCTGGGCGACAGTGCGAGAGGCCATCTCAAAAAAGAAAAAAAGAAATACAAATTCAAGTCCAGGAATTCAAGACCAGTCTGGACAATATAACAAGACCCTATCTATACAAGCAAATTAAAAATGAGCAGGCATGGTGGTGCATAACTCTAGTCCCAGCGACTCAAGAGGCTGAAGTGGGAGGATCTCTTGAGGCCTGGAGTTCAAGGCTGCAGTGAGCTGTGATCACTCCACTGCACTCCAGCGTGGGTGACAGAGTGAGATCTTGTCAAAAGCAAGCAAGCAAGAAAGAAAAATTGATGTGACCTTTATGCAATGTAGTAAGTTTGTACCTATAACCATGTAAATTGCATATAACCATTGACTCAGCAATTCCCCTTCCAGGAATTAATCTTTCCAGAAATACTTAAAAGTTGTGCAAGGATCTTGTCCAGTGGTGTTCATTTCGGGATAGTTTGTGGAACGCCTCAATGCCCTACAGGTTGGGTCAATAAATGAAAATGAAATCAAATAATGAGATAGCCATATAGCTGTTAAAATGAATACTGCAGTACACCTACAGGCACCAACAAGCAAAAAGGTCTCTGAGCCATTGTTAACTAAAGCAAATTACAGAGTATCATGTACATAGTATCGCATTTGGTTTAGAAACAATTGGTTTAATTTTAAATTATATATTATGGTATTTATGTTCTGGTATATAGAAATAAAAATAGCACACACTTTTTATGAGCCAGGTATTGCTCTAAATGTCTTTTATATATTAACTTGTTTAATTTGTAGAAGATATCTAGGAAGTAGAGGCTATTTATGATTATTTTGATGTGTGAAAGGAGAAACAAGGACTCATATCTAGCAGGTGGAAGAACTACGATTTGAACCTTGACAGTCTGGCAGCAGAAGCTGAATCATTAATCACTGTCCTAAACCTCTCAAATAAGTGCTCAATAAAATGACTCCAATGTGTGTGCATGTGTGTGTGCGCTTATGTATGTGAGTGTGTGTATATGTATGTGTTGGGCTGTGTACATGTGTGTGCATGTGTGTGTATCTCTGTGTATGTCTATGTATGCCTATCTGTGTATGTGTGTTTGTGTATATGTATGTATACATGTGTGTATATGTGTGTTCGTGAATGTGTGTACATTTGTATATGCCTGTATGTATATATGTGTGTATGTGTGTGAGGAACGTGGATATGTGTGTGTATGTATGTGTATGTGTGTATCTGTGTGTAGATGTCTGTATGTCTGTATGTGTGTATGGGTATATGCATATATGTGTATATACCTGTGTGTATGTGTGTAAATGTGTGTGTGGGGTGTGTGTGTGTGCATGTGTGTATGTATGTGTTATATGTATGTGCATATATATGTGTGTGTATTGTGTACTTATGTGTGTGCATGTGTGTATGTATGTGT